TTTATTTGCATATCATTGCATTTATGTGTGTACAGAACACTGGATACCCTCATTTGAACATTTCATAGTCAATGGTTTTCACATTAGCGTTATTGAAATCTGTTGAACTAGTCCTGTCTTCAGACTCAGACTTCATCGACTTACACACGTTTCTTCGATAAAACTGAGGAGTTCTAAGAGTTATAAATGCTGACAGTCCCTTAAAACGGCTGGTTGCTGAAGAGAAGGGTAACAACACTGCAGTGGTTACATTACGAAATGATTCACACCGATGGACCTGATCGGGATATGTGCAAGAATAAGTCTACTATGTACTAATGAAGTCTAGACAATTTAAAACTACGATAAATCTTTAATTAAAAACGGAGCTGTCTTCTTGCATGTAGAATCTGTATTTGTGTACAAGTGAGTAATGTTGATTTATCAACCGTTTAGTTCTGACTGAAGCCACACTAGTTTGCTCTTCTTCAAATTCCGTCGTTCGGTTGACTTCGTCTACATATTCCTGGCGAATAGAAATAGGTTTCTTTCCTGGCGTGCACATCAATTTAGGCGTCTTCATTCCACATAGGCTGTGACTCCCTGATATTTTCCCTGCTACATTGCCAGAGGTTTATTAGCGAGTCATTTTTGTATTACTGTAGGCGAAAAGATGATTTCCACATTAAAGTTATCAATGTTATCCGTTCCATGAATGGCCGACAGAAAGAATATTTTGAGGGAAACAACACCAAAATGTCTACGTCCGTTGGCGTTTGTAACACAGAGTCCTAAACTACTGAACCTCTCGACTCATATACTCTGTTTTAAGACCTTGATTGTGACGAATCTCATGGAACTACCTAGAAAATTAATACATGAAACTTATTGCTGGACATGAGACTGCATAAGATTAATTCGTAGTGTTCGTTCATGTTAATAACTGCCTCGTTCTTAATGGGCATCTGATTTGAATTCCAAATAAGCTATCTATGAAAATGTTGCGTACATTCAGTGTCTGAAGGCTCTTTTGCCTATGAAAAATCTGCGATTCCAGATAACAAACTTATTAGAATCAGAATTCACGAAATGGGGATCTTAAATATACAGATTGAAAAGAATCATATAGAAAACCATACAATGGCTAGTTGTTGCAGGGGTAAATTAGTGTGGTGTACCGAACTGTTACCTAGTGTGAACGCACGAGTGAACGCTTCTAGATAATGTGTGTTGGGCAATACTAGGCGGCTTGTTACAGTGTTAGAGCATTTGGATACTACTTGCTTTGATAATTCGTTTCTACTCGATGCCAACTATTTTTAAATCTATGAATCTGCAACAGCTTAGGTTGGTTGGTTAAGAGTTCAACCTAAACAACTAAGCATATGTCAAAACAGTATAGTTCAAGTATTCATTCACTTCCTTATTTTGTATAGGCGTTATATTTCCTATTACCTTATATTGAATGTTGAGAGGATTTGTTTGTCTGAGCCAATAATCCCACGCTACACTGCGACTGCCTGAAGATCTAAATAAAGACTCATTCACTACTTGCCTGGTTTTTTTCTATCAATAGCACGAGGGTTATCTAGAGGCACGAAAAATCTCTATGTCCTTTCACAGCGCACCTTTTTAGACCGGTTACTGTCTAACAGCATAATTTCACCATATTTGTCAAATATTGTGAGATACATTGTGATAGTAAATACTATCACGTTTCAATCAAAAAGTTTTCATAGGAAGGCTACTGCTCCTAGTAGAAGGCTCTAGTGCAGCCAATATTAATGTTGTAGCTAGTTCACTTCAGATCAATGGTAAAACACCTATGTTTATGATGAAGAACTTTGAAGGATCCTTCATATGTAATTTACAGAGGTTTCGCGGCACACGAGCGTTGTGTACTATGTCGTAAGGCAGGTCGTTCGAAAAGATCAGTCATTTGCGGTTGAGTAAAAACAGGATTAGATAGACTCATAGTGTCTGCGAGCCTGTTCGTGTGGGCATTTAGATACACGCTCCCGTTGGGTAAGATGAAGGATCCCCAAGATTTCCTCGAAGTCGGAGTGTGGTTCTATAAACAAGTTGAAGTGCAGTGTAACCAATTTCGGTTTTTCCTGAATTGCGAATAAAGAGTAAAATGAATGTTCGGTCCATTGTGAAAAATTTTCATCTGAGAATAGAGCTCTTGACCGTCTGTCAAAAATCGATCTTAAACCGTTCAGTTTGTAGATGGAAGGTGATCGTATGGATCCATGTGTTTCCTAGTAACATATCAGAATAAATGAAATGTCAAGATTCGAATTCTTCTGTTGGGTTGGTATAATCGCAAGGGGAGGGTTTATGTAACTTCTTAAACATATTTCGAAGAAATCGCAGGTCAGTGAATCGGAACTAATGTCTTTGATAGGTACTGGTTCTGGAAATCTCATAAAACGATCCGCACACATAAAGAAGTCATGATGTTCAAGTGCATCTGTTTGGTATTCCGATAAATCCAGATGGACATGGTGGAAACGAGCACTGGGAGATGTGGAACAGCCCAATTGTTTGTATGGACAAAAAGAGATAATAACGATCGAAAATCTTATAGAGTATCTCCATTTCATTTATCTATTATTTATGGCTTTTCTGAGATTAGGAATTAGGATTTAAATTAAGGTTTTTCATCACAAACAGACGTCGATTGTGTTATTGAAATACTGTTTATCTGTAAGTATAAATAATTCTCGCCCCGAAACCTTTGACTCTGTTCTTGATTTCATCATTTCGTGCATAAATTATAATTTACCTTTTCAAACGTTCTGAAGATAGACATTAGAAAGTCGGTTGCAGTGGTAAGTTACTTCCCTGCTTGTACGTTAGGATAGTCTGTAATTTGCAGACCACTATTTTAAGGCGTTTGAGTCTGATCACAGGAACACCTCATCACATCTTAGGGTCATATAAACCAGTTGTGAAATGTTATGATTTAAATTTTGGCGTTGCAGTTCGGTAAGATGCACGGTTATCTATCCAGGAATTTATTTCAGTTTACTGATATCTATAACATTTGCCAGTTGTATGCCCTTCATGTGATACAAATACCTATAATTTATTTCTTAAAAGTCGTATGATGACTTTCTTGCCTTAGTTTGTTCATTCACTTAACTGCTAGTGTTTGTTTTCTCTTAACTTTAAAATCATGTCTAGGAACCCTGTAGTACCCCGGGATCTTAAGAAAACTAATGCACAAATTCAGTTATTTATTTATTTTAACACAGGCACCAAATACTTATGCGCCACACAGGTCTCATTTGATATGTGTGAGAGCTGTGATACTGCCCGAGTGCCCAGACCGAAGCAGGTAGTTTTCTTAGGGGGCCACACCCCGAGCCTTTGACCTACAGGTCTGATCCACAAGGCAGTGGAGCATCGTAAGGAGATGCAGTTCCATGGTAGCCGGTGATCAACGATTGGTTCATGCGCCTTTGTCCCCGCAGGATACTGGAGCTCGTGTGCACCATTGGTTTGGGATCCGGTTAAAGTGCCGGATATTCGCCTTCCATCCTCTCATTTTCGTAAACAACACCCCCGCCACGAGAAGGTAGTGAGTAGGACTTCCCTAGCAGAGGCTGTATACACGTGGCCATGTGAGAGCGTTTGCTGAGCGAGAGAGGACTCTCCCTACTCTCGGCCATACCAGGGCATTTGGGGGTGACGAAGATAAATAAGCTGCTCTGTATAACTAGTACACTGCAAACTAGGGGATTAATTCTTATCCATTATTTTCTAAGATGGACTAGTTTGGTGCTTTGGATATATATATATATATATATATATATATATATATATATAACCTTCAGTTTGGTCAATATAGTATCCAGAGCACTAGCTTCCATAATCATCTGACGTCTAACCGGAGGCCAGGAACATCTAATCAAGACACGGCACTAGCCGACAGATCGATGTTCGTTTTGAGAAGCACGAACTACATTGTTGTAGTGTGCGTGATAATCATGACAAACGGTTGGGAACGTGAGGTGACATTTTCAATGCAATTTGAGTTGCGTATATAAATACACTGGGAGCTGTGAAAGAGCCCAATGGAAGTTTGTTTTGTCTGATCACCTTAGGTTCCCGAAAAACTACACAGGAGCGTACTCACTTCTTCACAGCTTCATTCACACAGGAAAAACAGAATCATCTTTCTATTAGCTTGCTAGTTGCACGAAAACCTGAATGAGAAAGCTCGTGCAACATGTTGAAGACGTTTCATCGATAACTTTTCGTCCCAATTAGATTAGTACTACTTATAGAACTCCCACATAGCAAAGTTTCCTTACCTGTTACTCTCTGTTTGATTCGTAGTTTCAGAGTTGTCGAGGATAACTTGCGTTGAAGATTAGTGTTTTCGTTTTGAGGCTGGAAGTATTTTGATAAGTCGATTCCTCAGAAACTGTTCAAGGAAATATACGAGACGGGGCAACTACTTTGGCTGCCCTAGATATATTTTCAATATTTGAAGTAAACTGACAAATACAGCCAGTTGTCGAGAAAATCTGGGAGAAACAAGCTCAGAGAGACTAGATTTTTGTACTTGGCAAGCAGAGTAAACACTCGGCTATCCACTGAGTGTTGATAGTGCCGTAGAACACGATAAGTGGTTAGATGTTGTCGGACGAAAGTGCTATACTTCGATCCGGTGTATGACAATGTCAAAGGTTAATATGTATTGTTTATCCATTTGTTGTATCACGAGATTTCTCGCCAAATAAGGCCGTCCAAATGCCTTCCTAGAAGTGCTTCATTGGAAAACGGTATATTCTTAAGGACTCTGGGTGGTAGACCATTACTATTTACAAATGGCTCTCTTATAGTCTTTACATATACCTTGATTCCTACCTGAGAAAATCTGTGATTCACCGCTACCTGAAACGAAAGCTCGTTGGGCGAAAGCATTGTTATTCATGTACATAAGTTTTTAAAACATTTGAACGATAACAAAAAAAATAGTATGAGGCTTGATTAAGTGTTGTAAGTGGGAATAATTAGGCAGCGTGACAAAAAACGTGTATTATACGATTAACACAAATAAGTAAAACACAATGAATACTGTCACAAATACTCCGATTTCAGAGGCATAGGAGTATATTAATTTTTGAAGTCATAAAAACTTCAGTACTAGTGCTAATAAAAACGTTCATAATAATTTTGTGTCTCTACATTATTAAAAATAGGGGGGGGGCAGTGAAATAGCCACTTGTCCATGTGTTATTATGGAGGATACTTGGTGGCAAATAGCAATTGTATGGAGGGGGGTTGTTTGTTTGCGTTACCATGATGTACGTTCACTAGGGGTTTTATGTACACAAGGGTTTTAAGAGTTCTTATATTCAGGAATTAATTAGTATTGATGTACTGTCATTATTAGATGTTTTGTATAAGGTATGTTCTAGCACTAAAATTATCTATTTGGAATTAAAATGTCATTAAAATTATAATAAGCTCTCTCTCTATGACCATGGTCATAGTTGTAAGCTCCTAACCGTAATATTTCGAGGTTAGTGGGTTTTTGATGCAACTTTGTACTTAAGGTTTTACTTCACTAACTATGGGAAGAAACTTTGAATTTCGGTTTATGATTTCATATTTCAAATGGATCGAACATTAACTGTGTGTTCATGTAAGTGATTTTTTGGACGCAATATGACTTCATGGTTTGTATGAACAAAAAAAGTGAGAATAACGATCGAAAATCTTATAGAGTATCTCCATTTCATTTATCTATTATTTATGGCTTTTCTGAGATTAGGAATTAGGATTTAAATTAAGGTTTTTCATCACAAACAGACGTCGATTGTGTTATTGAAATACTGTTTATCTGTAAGTATAAATAATTCTCGCCCCGAAACCTTTGACTCTGTTCTTGATTTCATCATTTCGTGCATAAATTATAATTTACCTTTTCAAACGTTCTGAAGATAGACATTAGAAAGTCGGTTGCAGTGGTAAGTTACTTCCCTGCTTGTACGTTAGGATAGTCTGTAATTTGCAGACCACTATTTTAAGGCGTTTGAGTCTGATCACAGGAACACCTCATCACATCTTAGGGTCATATAAACCAGTTGTGAAATGTTATGATTTAAATTTTGGCGTTGCAGTTCGGTAAGATGCACGGTTATCTATCCAGGAATTTATTTCAGTTTACTGATATCTATAACATTTGCCAGTTGTATGCCCTTCATGTGATACAAATACCTATAATTTATTTCTTAAAAGTCGTATGATGACTTTCTTGCCTTAGTTTGTTCATTCACTTAACTGCTAGTGTTTGTTTTCTCTTAACTTTAAAATCATGTCTAGGAACCCTGTAGTACCCCGGGATCTTAAGAAAACTAATGCACAAATTCAGTTATTTATTTATTTTAACACAGGCACCAAATACTTATGCGCCACACAGGTCTCATTTGATATGTGTGAGAGCTGTGATACTGCCCGAGTGCCCAGACCGAAGCAGGTAGTTTTCTTAGGGGGCCACACCCCGAGCCTTTGACCTACAGGTCTGATCCACAAGGCAGTGGAGCATCGTAAGGAGATGCAGTTCCATGGTAGCCGGTGATCAACGATTGGTTCATGCGCCTTTGTCCCCGCAGGATACTGGAGCTCGTGTGCACCATTGGTTTGGGATCCGGTTAAAGTGCCGGATATTCGCCTTCCATCCTCTCATTTTCGTAAACAACACCCCCGCCACGAGAAGGTAGTGAGTAGGACTTCCCTAGCAGAGGCTGTATACACGTGGCCATGTGAGAGCGTTTGCTGAGCGAGAGAGGACTCTCCCTACTCTCGGCCATACCAGGGCATTTGGGGGTGACGAAGATAAATAAGCTGCTCTGTATAACTAGTACACTGCAAACTAGGGGATTAATTCTTATCCATTATTTTCTAAGATGGACTATATATATATATATATATAACCTTCAGTTTGGTCAATATAGTATCCAGAGCACTAGCTTCCATAATCATCTGACGTCTAACCGGAGGCCAGGAACATCTAATCAAGACACGGCACTAGCCGACAGATCGATGTTCGTTTTGAGAAGCACGAACTACATTGTTGTAGTGTGCGTGATAATCATGACAAACGGTTGGGAACGTGAGGTGACATTTTCAATGCAATTTGAGTTGCGTATATAAATACACTGGGAGCTGTGAAAGAGCCCAATGGAAGTTTGTTTTGTCTGATCACCTTAGGTTCCCGAAAAACTACACAGGAGCGTACTCACTTTTTCACAGCTTCATTCACACAGGAAAAACAGAATCATCTTTCTATTAGCTTGCTAGTTGCACGAAAACCTGAATGAGAAAGCTCGTGCAACATGTTGAAGACGTTTCATCGATAACTTTTCGTCCCAATTAGATTAGTACTACTTATAGAACTCCCACATAGCAAAGTTTCCTTACCTGTTACTCTCTGTTTGATTCGTAGTTTCAGAGTTGTCGAGGATAACTTGCGTTGAAGATTAGTGTTTTCGTTTTGAGGCTGGAAGTATTTTGATAAGTCGATTCCTCAGAAACTGTTCAAGGAAATATACGAGACGGGGCAACTACTTTGGCTGCCCTAGATATATTTTCAATATTTGAAGTAAACTGACAAATACAGCCAGTTGTCGAGAAAATCTGGGAGAAACAAGCTCAGAGAGACTAGATTTTTGTACTTGGCAAGCAGAGTAAACACTCGGCTATCCACTGAGTGTTGATAGTGCCGTGGAACACGATAAGTGGTTAGATGTTGTCGGACGAAAGTGCTATACTTCGATCCGGTGTATGACAATGTCAAAGGTTAATATGTATTGTTTATCCATTTGTTGTATCACGAAATTTCTCGCCAAATAAGGCCGTCCAAATGCCTTCCTAGAAGTGCTTCATTGGAAAACGGTATATTCTTAAGGACTCTGGGTGGTAGACCATTACTATTTACAAATGGCTCTCTTATAGTCTTTACATATACCTTGATTCCTACCTGAGAAAATCTGTGATTCACCGCTACCTGAAACGAAAGCTCGTTGGGCGAAAGCATTGTTATTCATGTACATAAGTTTTTAAAACATTTGAACGATAACAAAAAAAATAGTATGAGGCTTGATTAAGTGTTGTAAGTGGGAATAATTAGGCAGCGTGACAAAAAACGTGTATTATACGATTAACACAAATAAGTAAAACACAATGAATACTGTCACAAATACTCCGATTTCAGAGGCATAGGAGTATATTAATTTTTGAAGTCATAAAAACTTCAGTACTAGTGCTAATAAAAACGTTCATAATAATTTTGTGTCTCTACATTATTAAAAATAGGGGGGGGGCAGTGAAATAGCCACTTGTCCATGTGTTATTATGGAGGATACTTGGTGGCAAATAGCAATTGTATGGAGGGGGGTTGTTTGTTTGCGTTACCATGATGTACGTTCACTAGGGGTTTTATGTACACAAGGGTTTTAAGAGTTCTTATATTCAGGAATTAATTAGTATTGATGTACTGTCATTATTAGATGTTTTGTATAAGGTATGTTCTAGCACTAAAATTATCTATTTGGAATTAAAATGTCATTAAAATTATAATAAGCTCTCTCTCTATGACCATGGTCATAGTTGTAAGCTCCTAACCGTAATATTTCGAGGTTAGTGGGTTTTTGATGCAACTTTGTACTTAAGGTTTTACTTCACTAACTATGGGAAGAAACTTTGAATTTCGGTTTATGATTTCATATTTCAAATGGATCGAACATTAACTGTGTGTTCATGTAAGTGATTTTTTGGACGCAATATGACTTCATGGTTTGTATGAACAAAAAAAGTGAGAATAACGATCGAAAATCTTATAGAGTATCTCCATTTCATTTATGGCTTTTCTGAGATTAGGAATTAGGATTTAAATTAAGGTTTTTCATCACAAACAGACGTCGATTGTGTTATTGAAATACTGTTTATCTGTAAGTATAAATAATTCTCGCCCCGAAACCTTTGACTCTGTTCTTGATTTCATCATTTCGTGCATAAATTATAATTTACCTTTTCAAACGTTCTGAAGATAGACATTAGAAAGTCGGTTGCAGTGGTAAGTTACTTCCCTGCTTGTACGTTAGAATAGTCTGTAATTTGCAGACCACTATTTTAAGGCGTTTGAGTCTGATCACAGGAACACCTCATCACAACTTAGGGTCATATAAACCAGTTGTGAAATGTTATGATTTAAATTTTGGCGTTGCAGTTCGGTAAGATGCACGGTTATCTATCCAGGAATTTATTTCAGTTTACTGATATCTATAACATTTGCCAGTTGTATGCCCTTCATGTGATACAAATACCTATAATTTATTTCTTAAAAGTCGTATGATGACTTTCTTGCCTTAGTTTGTTCATTCACTTAACTGCTAGTGTTTGTTTTCTCTTAACTTTAAAATCATGTCTAGGAACCCTGTAGTACCCCGGGATCTTAAGAAAACTAATGCACAAATTCAGTTATTTATTTATTTTAACACAGGCACCAAATACTTATGCGCCACACAGGTCTCATTTGATATGTGTGAGAGCTGTGATACTGCCCGAGTGCCCAGACCGAAGCAGGTAGTTTTCTTAGGGGGCCACACCCCGAGCCTTTGACCTACAGGTCTGATCCACAAGGCAGTGGAGCATCGTAAGGAGATGCAGTTCCATGGTAGCCGGTGATCAACGATTGGTTCATGCGCCTTTGTCCCCGCAGGATACTGGAGCTCGTGTGCACCATTGGTTTGGGATCCGGTTAAAGTGCCGGATATTCGCCTTCCATCCTCTCATTTTCGTAAACAACACCCCCGCCACGAGAAGGTAGTGAGTAGGACTTCCCTAGCAGAGGCTGTATACACGTGGCCATGTGAGAGCGTTTGCTGAGCGAGAGAGGACTCTCCCTACTCTCGGCCATACCAGGGCATTTGGGGGTGACGAAGATAAATAAGCTGCTCTGTATAACTAGTACACTGCAAACTAGGGGATTAATTCTTATCCATTATTTTCTAAGATGGACTAGTTTGGTGCTTTGGATATATATATATATATATATATATATATATATATATATAACCTTCAGTTTGGTCAATATAGTATCCAGAGCACTAGCTTCCATAATCATCTGACGTCTAACCGGAGGCCAGGAACATCTAATCAAGACACGGCACTAGCCGACAGATCGATGTTCGTTTTGAGAAGCACGAACTACATTGTTGTAGTGTGCGTGATAATCATGACAAACGGTTGGGAACGTGAGGTGACATTTTCAATGCAATTTGAGTTGCGTATACATATGCACGTGTTTATGCTTAATTCTCTCTTTCTTTACTGACTTACTATGGAAACGTGCACCTATGTAAAACAAAGTCGTATCAGATAATACGTTGTTTGTGTTCAATCGATGTAAATATAATCGCTACACTTAATTCTATAGTCTAAATTAGCTGGGATTCGTAAGTTTTAGCGAATTTTAACTTATTGATCCTCCTTTATGTTTTTAGATATCTCTCTATAGCCTAATACTTCAAAATGCTTTCAGAAAAACGTAAAAAAGTAAGATATTCAACAGACCCAAATGGGAATCTTTGGGCTGCCAATCCCAACAATTTTGGCAGAAAAATGCTTGAAAAATATGGTTGGTCTCCTGGAAATGGTTTAGGAAAAAACAGCAACGGTATTAAAGCCCCTATAAAGGTATCAGTTTATTTTCTAAAAGGGTTTTTAGGCTTCCATACAGAAAGGCACACGGGGGTTGGGTATGAAGTCGGACTTTTGTTTGGGTATCCGGCAGATTAATGAATACGCAAGTCTTCTGCGTAAGCTTAACAACGCCCACAGTAGTTCTGACAAAACAAATGCAATCAGTGAATGTTTACCCACGAGTTGGAGAAAAGGTATGAAGACTTTAAGGTCAAAGGATGCATCTAAGTATGATCAGCAAGATCTATCCATTGTTCTTGGACATACTCAGTCATTTTTGGAAGAAAAAATAGCCTCGCCAAATGCTCCTGCAAAGGAATCTGGTTGTCAAATTCCTAGTGTGATAAGTCCAATGTCTGTCTCCGAATATTTTGCTAAAGCAAAGAAACACAGACTCCAAAGCGAGCCACAAACTTGTGGTGTGTTGTAATTTTTACTTTATTAGATACCTTAGATTTGGTTGATGTCAAGTCAGCCAAGTCAATTGAAATCATCGTCCCGGTTGATCAACACGTTACATCAGTAAGTTTCAAACTTTGTATTGATTATCATGATAACAAGAACTCTGTTTCAGTAAAGATCAATGATAACGAAGGGTTCGAATGTAGGAAAATTGAAGAGATATCAAACCATGAAGACGTCGAACTGATCATGCCACCACTAGATCCTGATAAAAAAATAAGGCGTGTCGAAACTGTAAATGCAGGAGAAAGTATGTAATGTCTTATGGTGAATTACCATTTTCTTAGATGTCATTAATTCTCTATTCGTGCAGTCCAACTTATTGTCGATGCCTGGGTACTGTTATTACTAATTATTTCTGAGTAAAAATTGTACTGACCAGTTTGTTGTTATATTCATGGCAATCTCAAAGTAACAAAGAATCGCATCTTGTATGTATTGCTAAATAATGGTGAGGTAACACTTACGTAAGGCCATTCGATGTTTACTTCAGTTTCTAGTAGTTGCGTTTTTATTATTTTGAAGCGCTGAAACCTAGTGTTTTTGCAGCTAGGTAACTACGCTTACTTTGATATTGCTATGTGATTATATAGTTATACATGTTATAACGATTAAAAAAGTAATTTCCGTATCCGTGATGTGGTTGTTAGACGACTATAAACCTTATAAATATTTAATGATTGAAATACGCTGTGTTATGCTATTCTGGGTAGGATAAAAATAAGTCGGAGAATAGTTAGGAGTGGTTAAAGCAATATTTAATATCAGCCCATGAAGCTATTGGCGTTTGATCTAAGTTGTTTCAGTAATTTCGAATCATGTTACAGTCCTCAGAGTAATTGTACTTTATTGCTCAAGACTTCAAGTGGCACGGCTAACTGTCGAGCACGGTGTTGCGAATGGGCTCTATCATTATTCTGAATCTTCAGCTTAGTATCATGTGTAGGTTTTCGGAACCACTGATACCATTATTTTGATTAATTTGATTTTTATTCCAGTAAAGTCCTTCCACTATATTCATGTAGTTTGGCAAACTAAATCAAAAAAAGTTTGTGCCAAATCCGATTTTATATAACATAGGCTGCTTGGTCAGTCATCCTTATATATATACAAAGCGATACTTAAAATGGCATGGTTAAATACAGCATATGGTTACTAGTACATAATTGGTGAACATAAGTGGTCGATCACTTGTTCTTTGACATAATACTACCACTCATGTAATTTTAATTCGCTCCTTATAAATAACCGGTGATTTGATTTTATTCCGAAGTACCAGTATAATATTTCGCATAATGTACCGTGTTAAATCACCATTGATACATCAGGACTAAAAGAAGAAACTTGCTAAGTCATAGTACTTCTGACTACACAGAAAAATATAGACTCCTCACTTACCCGCTCAAGAGCGAGCAACCTTAAAAAATAGGTGGATCGAAAGGTCACCATCTGTTATGTTTCGTTATTGCTTGAATGCGATTACTGATGCGTCTTACTCGAACGAACGAAGGATCAATGATTCAGCGACTCGATACACTATTCTGGTCCGTTGTCCCCAACTCTGCTAACTCGATCAAGAAGTCTGGGTAAGGTGTAGAAAGTGTATTCTACAGACAAACAGCAGATAACAAGTCAGGCAGGCAGATCAGATCAAGCATACAAGTCAAGCGTATTTATACAATTATTTACAATCGATAGAAGATTTTTAAACATTAATCAATGAGTTCATTAATTGACCTATTTGCGCATTTAGTTGATAGTTCACCAATTGACCTATTTGCGCATGTAATCGATAGTTCATCAATTGACTGCTATTCAAACATTTAATCGATTAGTTCACCAATTGACCCCAATAAAAATATCTAACATTTAATCAATAAGATGATCGATAAGATAAATTTTAAAATATGAGTTTGGGGATCTACCGTCCCCAACACTCCTCCCCTTTTTAATAGCGGGCTTTCCTGGGGTCAACCTGCATCCTGATTGTTGCTCGCCGTTCTCGGATAGGCCACCGTCTTGGACGTGTTTCAGTTTGTTGTTGAGGTTTTTCTTGTGGTGGGGTTGCCGGTAAGTTGAATGTGTCTAGCAGAATGTCAAGAGGAATATTTGATTCTGTTGATGGGCGGTCTGGGGCTAACCGTTTGCGTAACTGATTCCGATGGCGTTGCCACCTGTCACGACCTACCTCAACTTCGTACATGACTCGGCCAACTCTTTTGACCACTCGCGCTTCTGTCCATGGACTATGGGTCGGTCTGTAATCACGGGCAAACACCGGACATCCCACTTCGTACGTGGATTGCTTTTCAAACTTTGTCCGAACTGGTGTCGGTGCATTCCTTGGATGCATCAGGCTGTGGATTGTCTTCAGTCTTCTTCCCATTAGGATCTCGGCTGGGGACTTTCGCTCCGGCAACGTTTCATTTGGTGTTGTTCGATACACGTATAAGAAATTTTGCAACGCGTCTGCTGGCGTCCCCTCCCCCTTTGTTTTAGCCAAGGCTCTCTTAAACGTATCCACAAACCTTTCTGCTTGCCCATTCGACTGCGGGTGGTATGGTGGCGAGCGTAAGTGCTTTATGGCTAGTCGTTGACAGAATGACTGAAATTGGCTCGAGGTGAACTGTGACCCGTTGTCAGACACAATAGCATCTGGTATACCATTTCGAGAGAAAATTTCTGTGAGGATCTGTATTGTTTTAGTTGTCGTTGGCGGTATGATAGGGTTGATTTCAGGCCATTTCGAAAAGGCGTCGACAACAACTAGATAGGTGATTCCGTTAATTGGGCCTGCGAAATCGACATGTATCCTGGACCAGGGATACTCAGGCTGTGGCCATGGGACTGGTAGTATTTTCGCGTTACACTTAGCTGCTTGCTGACATTGTGTGCACTTGCTTACTAAATCCACGATATGTTGGTCCATGAGGGGCCAATAAGCATAGCTTCTGGCGATGGATTTCATTCGTTTTATACCAGGATGACCAGTGTGGAATTGCTTTAGCACCTTTGATCTTAGGGATTCTGGTACCACTACTCTATCTCCAAACATCAAGCATTCGTTTACGACGCATAATGAGTCCCGACGATGGTAAAGCTGTTTCAAGTCACCATCGAGTCCAGTCGGCGGCCAGCCATTTGTGACGTATTTCATTGCTCTCTTTATAATGGAGTCGTTCTTGGATGCAGATTGTATTTCAGCTGCTAAGACTGGCAAAGCACGAATAGCAGTTGTCAGGTAGCACTGCGCGTAGTCCTCTGTCATCAGGGAGGCGATAACTGTATCTTCGCCGGCCGTATGGTGTTCGCTGATAAGTCGTGACAAGGCGTCAGCCTGACCAAACTGTTGAGTGCGCCGATACTGAATGTCAAAATCATAACCCAGAAGTATCAAAGCCCATCGTTGGAGACGGTTTGCAGAATGGGCTGGAACACCAGATTTCGAACCGAAAATTGTGAGAAGAGGCTTGTGATCAGTGAGAAGAGTAAATCTTCGACCGTACAAGAATTTGTGGAAACGGCGTACTGCAAACACAAGAGCTAGAGCCTCTTTTTCTATTTGACTGTACTTTCTTTCTGCTGGGGTTAGTGTACGGGCTGCATGCATAATGGCTTTTTCCGACGCATCCGGAAACTGATGGGAGATAACAGCGCCTAGGCCATGCGCTGAAGCGTCTGCAGCTACGATGATCGGCAAGGCTGGATCGTAGTGTGTCAACAGCAATTCCGAACTAATAATGGACTTCAGTTTACAAAAGGCAGCGTCACATTGTTTAGTCCAGTTCCAAGAGCTGTTCTTCTGCAGTAAGCTATTGAGTGGAGCGCGAATATCATGCATCGATGGAACGAACGCTGAGTAATAGCTGACAAGTCCCAGGAAGGAACGTAGTGATAAGACATTAGTAGGAGTTGGCATCAGTTTGATAGCTCGGATATTCTCAGGATCCGGCCTGCGGCCATCGGCATCGAAAATGAACCCCAAGTACTTTACCGACTGCAAATGAAACTGGCATTTCTCTGGGCGTAACCGGAACCCATTGTCACTGATGCGTTGCAGTACCAATGTCGTGCGTTCTCGTAGTTGTTCTAATGTCGTTGCTACAATTAAAATGTCATCCAAATAAGCCGCGACTTCCGGGATACCTGATAGGATGGTATCCATTAGCTGTTGGAAAATAGATGGTGCAGTTTTGACTCCGAAAGGTAGACGGTTATACTGGAATAAACCACGATGAGTATTGATAGTTAACAGCTCTCTTGATGCTTCGTCTACTTCCACTTGCAAATAAGCATCAGCTAGATCCAGCTTAGCGAAAAATCTTCCCCCATTCAGCATGGTAAATAGGTCTGCGGGAACAGGCAAGGGATAATGATGTTGTTCCAGAGCTGCATTGAGACCTGTTGAAAAGTCAGCACATATACGTATCGTGCCGTTGGCCTTCTTAATAACCACGATAGGTGCTGCCCATGCAGAGTAGGAAACGGGAGTGATAACTCCTTGTTGTTGAAGGCAGTTCAATTCTTCATCTACTGTTTGTAATGTTGCATAAGGGACAGGTCGCTTTGGGCGAAAAACAGGCTTAGCCCCAGTTTTCAATCGAAGTGTTGCTTTCATGACAGAGCAGCGACCCAATCCAGGTTGGAAAATGGTTGAAAACTCCGTCATTAGTTCTTTCGAATATGCTTCAGGTTCATGAGGTTGTTTCACCAGATGGCATACGGTGCTTAAAGGAACGTCAGCTAAATGTAGCTGGTCAAACCAGTCTAACCCAAGTAGATTAAGATCAGCTGGTGTGATGTAACATACACCGGTAAACGTTGAATCGTGAAAAGACACTTTACAATCTAGTTGTCCCAACAAACGTAGGTAATTACCGCATGCAGTTCGAGGTTTTTGTGTTGTTGGAACCATGCGTGGTCTTCCCATTCTGATCCAATATTTTCGTGAGAGAATTGTTACATCAGATGCAGTGTCTATTTGCAATCTAAATGAATGCCCATTAATGTTAACAGTAATAAATTTTCTCTGACACGGTGATGAGCTTTGACACGAAGATACTAAGCTCAATGAACTGGTGCGGGATCTAGGACAGGTCTTTTTGGTATTTCTTGATTGACTTGGAGTCTTCTTCGTCAGACAAAACCCATCCTTATGGCCAATAACCTTACACTTCTTGCATCGATGTTGATTAAATGGGCAGTTTCGAACGTAGTGCCATGCACCACATTGCCAGCAAGGAGCAGGAGGAGTTGCTTTAGTCTGTCGTCTAGAGCTGGAGTGAGATGGACTGGATGAAGCGGGGACGTGTTTGTTTTTGTGAGGTGTCTGTTGCACCGCTCGTACTTCAAATCGGCTAGAACCACCACTCTGGACCATAGAAGTGTCTCGTTGAAGATTAATGAGACGTTGATATTCATTAGCTATATCACTCAGGGTGAGTTTCGGTTCTTGATCCAAACGACTTAGTAGCCTTGTTCGTAAGTCACTGAACTTTTGGTGCTGTAGGCTGCAAATAAGGATCAGGGCTTTAAACTGATCTTCAGTCAAGGACTTTAACCGGAAGCGTTCGCATTCACAGTTGACGACGCCCACATGCGTAAGAAAATCATCATCTTCGTTCATAGTCAGCTTCAAGCAACGATAACGAGTATTAAACAGTGACGAGTTATCGCCAAAATGTTGGATTAATGTTTGAACTGTGTCTGCAAATGATCGATCACGTGGGTTCAACGGCAAGATCAGATTGCAATACTTGTCCAGCTCATTTGCACCCAGTTTACGAAGTAGCAGCCGCACTTTCCAAGCATCATCTTGATTGGCGAAATCAAATTTAAATAGATCTTCATAACGCCTGAACCACATCTCAAAAGTAACATTAGAATCAGGATCGTAATGAAATTCAGCTATGCTGTTTGCGATGCCATCTACCGATGGTGCCGTGGTTGAGCTCGACGTGCTTGGCTGTAAAGGAGGCGTAACCTTGGTCTCCATTAACATTTGCATCAATTTTAGCTGCTGCTCAAGTAACAGTTCAAGTTTGGCAGGGTCCATACTTCAAAAACCACCGTCGCCAATTTGTTATGCTTCGTTATTGCTTGAATGCGATTACTGATGCGTCTTACTCGAACGAACGAAGGATCAATGATTCAGCGACTCGATACACTATTCTGGTCCGTTGTCCCCAACTCTGCTAACTCGATCAAGAAGTCTGGGTAAGGTGTAGAAAGTGTATTCTACAGACAAACAGCAGATAACAAGTCAGGCAGGCAGATCAGATCAAGCATACAAGTCAAGCGTATTTATACAATTATTTACAATCGATAGAAGATTTTTAAACATTAATCAATGAGTTCATTAATTGACCTATTTGCGCATTTAGTTGATAGTTCACCAATTGACCTATTTGCGCATGTAATCGATAGTTCATCAATTGACTGCTATTCAAACATTTAATCGATTAGTTCACCAATTGACCCCAATAAAAATATCTAACATTTAATCAATAAGATGATCGATAAGATAAATTTTAAAATATGAGTTTGGGGATCTATCGTCCCCAACACCATCATAGTACCAACAGACGAAGGTAGTTATGGACATCAAGAAGGCCAGTGACCTACTCAAAGACAAGTCTATAACAAACATTAGTGAGAAATCCTATTAAAAAATTAGACAGCTGAATCGACAGAACTCTAAGCGAACTCGTCAAAGACAAACTACGAAACAAGATCAGTTACGAACAAAATCCACTACAACAGATCAAATTAAATACTTCATTACAAAGTATTGTTACGGCTGGACAGTAACATGCATTTTGTGAAAAGAACTCTACATGATAATAAAAGACAGAATCTTGTGATCATACTATGGATTCCTCAACTTAGTCCCCTGACTGCACAAGTTTCTTATAACTCACCAATCCGTGCTTTACAACATATCTCCTATTCAACAAACATACGAGTGAAACTAATAGGATCCCCTATTTCACAAATAATTGCAGATAGCGTGATGCAAAGACTACAAAGCACATTTCTACTAGCAATCGAACTGAAGATTTAAATACGTAGATGACATTCGTTAGTTCGGAAATGCTTAGGATTTTATCAACAACATCTTCAATAATATCAAATTTACAAGTCAAAAAGAAGAATAAGTTAAAACTCTCCTTGAACGTTTGACTCAACAGAAATACAGTCAGTCAGCTACAACGTAGGACCAGGCACATTTATGCATCGGTAAAAGTTACCATACCTCATTAACACAACAAGATCAACACCGGATTCATAAAAGTAGTTATTTCAGAAGTGGTAATATATAAAAGAAAGATTGCAATAAGGATATGGTGCAGGAAGAAAGAATTAGTTCGTAGAAAGAAAGATATGAAGCGATTTTAAACTCTTAGTTTAAGGGAAGATAGAAAGTGCATACATCTACACCATTGTGATAGATTCTGAGCCATGTCACCCACAGTCTCCAATCATTGGCTACGATAGTTACATAGCTTCCGAACAAATTTGCTAACCACCATTTCCCGCTATCTTACCAGATCATCAGTGCACATCCTCAGAAGTTTATCTGGATTGCAGCCCTTCATATACTGTTATCTAATCGGACAGCTGTTTTCGGAATTGTACCAGTAAATATTTATTTGACTACAACTTTTTATCCTATTCATATATGAACAGCTTCCATTTATCGTAACACTATCTTGTTCACCCGTCAGCCACTCCACATGAGGACCGGGTAAATGGACGTTGGTAACACACTATTTCCGACAATATGGAGACAAAATAGTTGAGGTGATAATAGCTGAGCGACTCAGTATTTCTGCAGATGCTGCCAGTTACCAAACAACATGAACCCATAGATGATTAGCGCGCTGGGCTTAATGTAACTACGTCCAGCAAGCGGAGCAGTCAAGTGCACATGACAGCAAATCCCTATATTTTTAGGAGTGGGGTGCTCCACATGTTTAATGAGCTCATCCTCTTCTTAGTCCTTGAATATCGCGACTGTTTAATTCAATAGGCTGTGAGACGGAAATAAACTCACCCATTTAAAAAGAATACTTCAGATTATAAACTTGGCTGATGTAAGCTACCACACCTAAGGGCTTATTTCTCGGTCGACTTCGTCATCATTTTAGTTAATTCCAGGTATGACCAACATTCCTCTGTCAGAGATTATTATACCGCAGTGAATTTTATGGAAACAGTTCGATAAAACTAGATACTAAGCCTTCGTAAGTCAAGCTAAGACAATGACCTAAAAAATCATTTCGTCAGGTCGAATGTTGTTTAGTATTTTCATGAAACACTGATTTAAAGACTATTGTGACAATTAAGAAATCCATAGTTTTTAAATCAACATATTCATCAATTTCGAATTTATTACATGAATTTTAGGCTTCTTCCAATAATAAATCATCTTTGACGTGTTCTAAATTCTCAGCGCAGCCAGTTTTTGACATGACGAAATCGTCTTCTACTCGCATACCGATGCCCAGAAAGTCTCTCGATACGCCCAGTTTCGCCAACTCATCTCTGAAGTAAATACCTGGTTCTAAAGGGAACACAACGCCTGCTTCGAAATGTTTTGTACTAGGTATCGTAGGAGTATCATGAATGTCTAAACCAAGATAATGTCCGACATGATGTGGACATATCTTTTGGGCAACCTGAATTTTAAAAATAAAATTTTTGCGTAAGGTCGGTTCAAAATCGTAATATGTATCATGGTAACATATTTCGAGAAAAAGCAGAGTAGTTTGCGTTAAAACTGATCTAGCAGTTTGGCTAAAGCATACAAGTTTTGAAATCTATACTTCAAGTCCAAATCGTGTTTGTTATAAAGTGGCAACCGTGAAGAAAGTGCTTCTGTGCAGTGCCTAGTAACGAAAAAATATCTGGTGACAAAATAGACAAGATATTTTCCGGCGAATTTGTGAATCTGAGTTCTAGGTTGTCGCCACTGAATTAAATCACGTTTGTCAGCAATTTGGATTTCATGCTAAGGTGAAGTGCTAAGCCCCACTATTAGGAAACTCTCAATTTGGCTAATTTCATATGATCATACAAGCCCTTTCATAAAAACGTTTGCTTGCGATATTATTAATAATGTCTTGCGTTAGATGAATTACATATTTCGAAACCTTTGGCAAGAATAATAATAGAAATGAACAGTCATGTTCAGCATATTAAGTAAGTCTTTAAACACGTTTCGTACTTGCAGATCCACGTACTCGACCTCGAGTCACACTATTTGAGGACCAGTAATACTAACCAGCTACCCGAGAGAGGTGAAGTGGGGTCTATCAGCTGCAACATTGGACCAGGCACATATATGCATCGGTCCAACTCTCCACATCTCATTAGCACAGCAAGATGAACACCAGATTCATAGAAGCAGTTAACTCAATAATGTAATATATAAGGGAAAGATTGCATATAAAGATATAGTACAGCAAGAAAGAATTAGTTCGTGGAAAGAAAGATATGAAGCGATTTTAGTCTCTTAGTTTAAGGGAAGACAGAGAGTGTATACACCGACGCCATTGAGATCGATTCTGAGCCAAGAATCTCCAACCATTGGTTACGATAGTCACGCGGACCCCAACCAAGTAGTTTGCATCTAACAACATGGCTCAGACTAGAAGTTGGTGACTTCAAGCACTGGTGCCGCGTTTTGGTTTCGCTGCCCCTAACTTTCTTCCAACCATCTCCAACACCGGTTAGCATTGCACGTCTTGGTAATCGGTGTTCAGGCATACGTAACACGTGGCTCAACCATCTCAGTCGATGAAAATTCACAACCTCATCAATTGATTTAACATCATTCCCTAATATCCTGGCTCTAACCTCACTATTACTTACCCGGTGATCCCAGCAATATTTTTAAGGCATCTGTGGCCAAATACTAGTAGCTTATGAGTGTCTTCCACTATTAATGGTCACGTTTCACAGCCGTAAAGTAGAACAGAACGAAGTTCCGCACAGTATACTCGTCCTTTTATTGATAGACGGATATCTCGCCTTCGCCATAGGTCACGTAAATTGGCAAAAAACTAAATGACCTTTCCGAATTCATGCAGAAATTTCGTCAGACGCCAATCCGTTAGGGCTGATCAGACTTTCAAGGTAAGTGAAGTTGTCAACGCGTTCGACTACTTCACTCTCTATCCTTAGTTTATGTATTGATGCAGACCAGTCCTGAAGCAGCAGCTTGCATTTAGAGGGAGAGAAGCGCATTCCGAACATTCTGGCATTGTTGCTTAGTGCTACCAAAAAATTCTGTATTTTATCAGCGTCTTCACCAAACAGGACTATATCATCTGGGTATTCTAAGTCGATAAGTGGACCTGCTGGAAGGAGATCAATACCCGAGAATTCAGTAGACGTGAATGTTATTTCCATCAATAGGTCTATGTTCAAGTTAAACAAAAATGGAGAAAGTGGACAGCCTTGACGGACACCACTTGAGGTTGCAAAAGTAGATGACAGTTCGCCATAAGCCCTGACTCGACTAGTAGTGTTCGAGTAAAGAGCCTTCACAAGGTTTATGTACTTCTGAGGTACGCCTTTCAATGACAGACACTGCCACAGAGTCTCGCGGTCTACAGAGTCAAATGCTGCTTTTAAGTCAAGAAAAACCACCATTGTCGGACGCCGATAAGTATGCCTGTGTTCTAGAATCTGACGAATGGTGAATATGTGGTCAATGCAGCCACGACCAGGTCTGAAGCCAGCTTGGTTCTCTCGTGTTTGCAGTTCACGAGTCTTAGGCGTCTGATAATTATCGAGGCTAGTATTTTAGATACTATGTTTGTTAAACTAATCCCTCTGTGGTTGTCACAGGATGATTTTGACCCTTTCTTATATATTGGGACGATAAGTGATTGCGACCAGTCAGATGGGATAAAGTCTAATTCCCAGATCTTAGCTAAAATATTAGTCAACCTAATCGCTAAAATTGGACCACCATCCTTAAAGACCTCTGGAGCCAATCCATCTGGACCAGCTGCCCTTCCTCGTTTCAGATTAACTATAGCCTTTTGAACTTCAGCAAGAGTTGGGGGACCTACTTCAATGTTCCATTCACATTGTCTGGGAATGGAGGGTAGTTGTTTGCAGTTCACGAGTCTTAGGCGTCTGATAATTATCGAGGCTAGTATTTTAGATAGTATGTTTGTTAAACTAATCCCTCTATGGTTGTCAAAGTATGATTTTAACCCTTTCTTATTTATTGGGACGATAAGTGATTGTGACCAGTTAGATGGGACAACGTCTAACTCCCAGATTTTAGCTAAAATATTAGTCAACCTAATCGCTAAAATTGCACCACCATCCTTAAAGACCTCTGGAGCCAATCCATCTGGACCAGCTGCCCTTCCTCGTTTCACATTAACTATAGCCTTTTGAACTTCAGCAAGCGTTGGGGGACCTACTTCAATGTTCCATTCACACTGTCTGAGAATGGAGGGTAGTTTTAGAGTAGCTGAAGGTCAGCTGAACTGTTCTCTGAAATGTTCCACCCATCGTTCTAAACGTCTGGACTGGGAGCAGATGAGTGTCGTCTTTTTCCGAAATATTCTGACTTACACTTGACTTAATAATTCCCTACAGCCACTGCCTTTTCCATCTCTTTTGCTTTCGTTGCCCACCACTGCTCACGGTCATTTCTTAGACCTTTCCTTAACCTAGATCTGATTTGTTGTCGCTCTTCATCATGTTCGGAACCTTATGGGATGAGTTTATGAGAATCTATCAGTACAATAGACCTTGAAAAAATCCATTGGTTCTTTGTAACCCTGTGGTTTAAATCACTGATAGTTGTCACTGCTGTTTCCACAGCTGTTTGTATATCTTTCCAAGCAACATTTGGGTCAGCCTCGTTTTCAGAACTACCTAAGTGTGACCTCAGTTGTTCCTGGAACCTACTTTTGGTTTTCTCGCTACTCAGTTCAGTTCTAATGGGTCTTTTTAATGTGACTTTTTTGCGTCCAGTGAGGCGCAAGCAGATGCTTGCCCGTATTAGGGCATGGTCGGAGTCCAAGCAGGTACTCCAGAATGAGCGACAATCTTCTACCGACCCTCTCCAACGATGACTGATGGCAATATGGTCTATTTGAGTCCATTGTTGGTTTGGTGTAGGGGGTCTCTATGTTAGACGATGTCTCTCCTTATGCTTAAAATTTGTGTTTGCTAAAAATAAACGATTGTCTGAGCATAGTTGCAGCAGACGATCACCATTATCTGTTCGTTGTGCCGGAATACTAAAGTACCCACCTAAATGCCTTTCTGTTCGGTTTAAACTACCTATCTGGGCATTAAAGTTACCTGCTTCGAGTACTATGTCTGCAGGTTTAGCTTTCTGAAGAAGTTCAGATAGTTTTCTGTAAAATTCATCTTTCACTTCATCTGAGCTGCATTCGGTGGGAGCGTAGGCAGAAACGACAAAAAGGCAACATGGCCGGTAAGAGTAGAAGATATTCGTAGGTTACTAGTATTCGATCATAGGTGTCTTCGAAACATTGCTCGTATATCCTGGGACCATCGAGTAAGTAACACAGTTGTTAGGAAACAGGTACTAGGTAAGGATGGCAAACCCATTGATGAAGTAGTGAAACTTCATCAGTTGAGATGGCTGGGACACGTGTTACGTATGCCCAACCACCGACTGTCTCGACGATGTTCAGTGGTATAGGAGTAAGTTGGAAGAAAGCTAGGGGCGGCCAGACCAAAACATGGCACAAATCCATGAAGTCACTAACAAGTGGACTGAGTCATGTTGGTAGGTGTAGACTACCTGGTTGGGGATCGCGAGATGATAGCAACCGATGGTTAGCGACCCTGAATGACATGGCTCAAAATCGTTTGCAATGGCGCAGATGCATACACTCTCTGTGTTCTCCCAAATTCTAATCTCCTGATTCCTCATTGTCTCTTTTTTTCTCTTCCCAAATTTATTTCACAGTATTATACTCTATAAATAACATCTCCAAACCCTAATCTTCTCGATTACTGCTTATACCCTTACTACCTCCACCACTACGGGATTTGAATCGACAACTGCATCTCTGTGCTAATGTGGTGTGGCAACTCGAACTGATGTACGTACGTACGAAGTTCTACGTTGTTACTGACTGACTGACTGACTTCTTTGATATAAATACCCGAGTTCCTCGATTTTTTCGCAATAGTAAATACAGGTATACGTCTTTTGCATTTGGAACGTAGAAAGTACACTACGTATTGACATGCATTAATTACTGATTAATTATTAAATACGTTCTGCAATATTCTGGAAATACTATTAACGTGTTGATGTTTATAACGCTTATGTAACTTGCCGATATTTATTCAATATAAACTTAAAACAAGGGCATTCCGTATGCTACAAATTTTCGATAAGTTATAAAGTGCATTTCAATTATACTACTTCCTGTTAGAAAATTTTCGAAACATTTGGAAGCTCTGTGCAGTTAGGATGTAGGGAACTAAGTAATCATGGCTGTCTAGGTCATTTTTAGGAAGGAAGTAACCACTCAATACAGATTAAATACAATAGAAAGTAGAGACTTAGAATAATATTACTAACTCATGAAGAAAGAAGGGGATATCAGTTATAAGTGGGAAAAAGGTGATGATGATGTAATAAAAGATAGAGCTTTTAAAATACAACAGGTGTACTTCAGTATAAGTCCAACAATAAGAAGTCAAAGCATAACATGTCGCAGTAAGATATAATCTGAACACTCATGGTCACAGCGTATTTCTCAATATGACAAATCTATATCCTCCCCATTAAGGAATGCTTCTAGAATGTCATTTACAACAGGACTGGAGAAGAACAGTAAAGTTGAGCATCCTTGCCGAACCATAATATCATATTGGAACAATAAGGAAAGGTGGTTGTATATCTACAGTCTACTCTAGATATTTTGAACAAAGATTTTAAAGCACTAGTTTACTAGTTCCTATATTTCTATCGGCACCTGTTTGTATTCTTGACGGATAAGATCTGAAAGATGTGGAAACTTTCGCAACCCTCATCAGCATTTTCCGGTCAGTCAGTCACAACGTAGGACCAGGCACATATATGCATCGGTCCAACTCGCCACACCTCATTAGCACAAAATGAACACCAAATTCATAGAAATAGTCACTTCAATGGTAGTAATATATAAAAGAAAGATTGTGTATAAGAATATAAAATTGGAAGAATTAGTTCACAGAAAGAAAGGTATGAAGCAAAGCGTGTATACGCCGACGCCACTGTGATCGATTCCAAGCCATGTTACCCATAGTTTCCAACCATTAGTTGCGATAGTCACTTGGACCTCAAGCAAATAGTCTGCATCTACCAACATGGCTCAGGGTGAAGTGAGTTGTGAACTATCAATTGGAAGTTGTTTTTATATCGTATAACCACCACTTCACTTACAAAGGATATTCGAAGTGAACGAAGTATGTACATTTAAGAGATCACTTATTACAGGTACATAATGGATTTGGCGCTTAAATGCGTATCTATATACCTAATATTATGGAAGTTTGTTGTTCATATTTGAAAGGATTTACGCTCGAAACTACATGCGAGCCAATAATTGTTGTTAATCAATGTAAGTGGAAATCAAATACTTTTATCAGTCTTTATGAAAATGCGCATCAAATGAACTTGCAAATTCTTTGCAGCATATATATCTGGTGCCCCTCGCACCAATATTTATGTGTTCAAATAAATAAATAACTCATTTCACTTTACTATGATGTAGCGACTGTAAGAACAGTAAAATTTTGATTTAAACTTCTACTTATTTTTGTTCAATTTAAATCAAACCACAATCATTAATAGATTGTTGTATAGTAGATCATTTTAAGATCAGCAGCAGATGATATGTGTATATGAAGACAATAATGTCCATAGCAAGAGGAAACTTGGATCAAGTTCAAGGTGCTGGAACAATCGTATGTCAATTAAGTATAAGATCATGGAAATACCGATAATAATACTAATGGTAATATGTAACTATGAAGTTATTTGATTAGGAGGTAAGTATCTGTTAAAAAAATTAACTTACATGCAACTTGTCCTGGTCTGGGATAATCCCCTCATTTATTAAGTGTCGTCCTATTTCAGACAGCATATGATGATATACATCTTGCAGACTTTGTTCAGGAGAGGCTAAAGATGCACATGAGTTCTGTACATCAACTAATATTTCATGTATAACTTTTTGGGGTGCCGAAAAGTTTCCTAATGAATAAACAGATTTTAATATGTAATTACGTTGTTTTGGATTTGACCTAACTGAAACATTCACCAACTATAATGGAGTAAGTAGGTACTAATGCACGTTTTACTGAAAGTGAAACTTAATATAAGGCATCGGTTAAAAAGTTATTTAGTGGTAGGAATAAGGCGTCTTACCTGTCTAGCCCTATATCTCAAATATCATAAGTGGAATGAGATTGGATAATTCATCAAACTGACACAAGATCACAGATACTTCTTTAAAATGAGAAATCGAAATAACCTGGTACGACCAGTGTCTTATAAAGCTTTGATTATTTGTATGAACATATCCACGAGAATGGGTAAGGAGTATGGTTACGATGCATCATAAAAACTATATAAGTTGAGAAAGCGATAAATATTGACGGTATTTACCATAGAATTAAAAGGCGTTTAGTAGACAATTAAATTATTAACATTCATTCATTGAATATCAATTATTAATGTCACAGTTCCACATACACACACTCATCTATTTTCACCTTGTGTACTTTTCACATTTATTTGTACGGACTAATGATTCTGTTGTACTTGAATACCTGTTTATTTCGGATTCCAAATATAATACATTCATTTCGGGAATTCCTATTTAGCATGATGATTCGAATATTTGTGTGTGGGGGGCTGTGATACTGCCCGGGTGCCCAGACCGAAGCAGGTAGTTTTCTTAGGGGGCCACACCCCGAGCCTTTGACCTGAAGGTCTGATCCACAAGGCAGTGGAGCACCGTAAGGAGATGCAGTTCCATGGTAGCCGGTGGCCAACGATTGGTCCATACGTCATTTGTTCCCGCAGGATACTGGAGCTCGTGTGCACCATTGGTTTGGGATCCGGTTAAAGCGCCGGATATTCGCCTTCCATCCTCTCATTTTCATAAACAACACCCCCGCCACGAGAAGGCAGTGAGTAGGACTTCCCTAGAAGAGGCTGTATACGCGTGGCCGTGTGAGAACATTTCGACAGGGAGGGCGGGCCCATCCCATTCTCGGCCATACCAGGGCATTTGGAGGCGCATATATACTTGGTGCCCTCTTGTACCAATATTTATGTGTTGAAATAAATAATAAATAAAAATGATTCGAATACCCCTAATTATCATACTTATCCTATTTACCAAAGTTAACACTTGAATATCATTGGACAGGCATTTAATGTAGATTTGATTTGGTTTCTAAACGTCACATGCTTTTCGATAATCTTGATTTCGGTTATTACTCTGAAGAAGTCTAGACAGATTTTTTTGACAAAAAGTCGTAGTATTTCAAATTTCTAATACAACTTAAACAATTTGTTTTTGAACTTGCCGTACTGACCTTACAGGCTTTTAATACTTGTGTGCTAGGAATTACCATTTGGTATAAATGACTAATATATTTTGAGGCTACATGTTGTGAACGGGGCTATCAATGGCATGAAAATTCGTGAGATCCAGTTAGTTGGAAAAACCTAATTAAATCTGTCTAGCTTTAATTTTTTTAGTTTGCGAGCTTCAGAATTTTCAAGTGTTAAAATTAAGTAAGCAAAAACACTTCAACATACCGTTTACTGGCCAAGTTCGAGTAATATCGGACGTATACCCGTTAAAGCGACATCCAGCATCCACCAAAACCAATTCCCCATTCTCAATCCTCATATTGTTTTTCATGTAATGAATGATGTTTGTTCTACTCCCTCCAGCAACAACAGGAGGATACCCGACAGAACAGCCTCGGCTGCGCATTTGGTATTCTATGTGACCTTGTAAAGCAGTTTCCGTGATTCCTGGTTGTGTAATTTGCATAGCCGACTTAAGAGACTCGATCGCTGCAATAACCGCGGTTTTAATCTGTCTTATTTCATAATTTGATTTTATAAAGCGAATTCTGTCGATTATATAGTCTGGATTTTCAAAACTAATTTTTTTGTCGCCAATTTTCCGGGAGAATTCTAAAATCTTTCTCAAAATGAACTTATTTAAGGGGCGCTCAACAAAATTTTTGGATGATAATGGACTATACCAAACACATATGGATTGTGCAAATGAAGCTTGATGGTTCAAAAAGTTACTAAATTCATTCAAAGGATGGGAATTATCAACCCCAGTTGCCAAAGAAGCTTCTGATAGCGTCAAAGATGGACCATCCCAGATTTCGGCATGTTTGTTTTGAGTCTCCACGAATAGATAAGTCGACCAATTGGAGCCACTTTGATCGCGATGCACTTCTGTTTTGTCTGTGCAGAACAACAGAACTCCATTTGGTTCACTTAATCCAGTGAAGTAGAAGAAGTTGGAATCTTGGTGAAAAGGGTATGGAACATGGTAAGCCATATACTGTATTTCTGAGGCTGGTATTATAACTATGTGATAGGAAGGCTTATTTACCAGCTGTTCAGTGCAAATGTTCAGTTTGTTGACAAAGACTTCACGGCGATTCTTCAATTCTACGACAGGAACAGAAGAATTATTGTTTGGATAGGATGGCGAAGCGCATAACCATCGAACTGACGTTAAGGCTGAAGACCATATATCAGGAAGTTTTTTTAAAGCAGAAATCATATATCACGGGTTTGTTGGAAATCCATACTGGCAGATCGGTTTTAAAAAAATGCACAAAGCGAAAACGAGCTACAGCTAAAGAATATACTTTTTAGCTGTTCCTTTTATACAAAAGCTTGTAGTTTTCAAGAGACGAATAAGTGGTAGTAGTTACCCCTAGTATTTTTCTGAGAAAAAAATAGCGATATCTAAAACCAAAGGTGAACAAAGTAACCCAACTAAGATATTTAATCAAATATGTGTACTCATGAGTACACATATTGCAATACCAAGTAGTTTATTTAACCAAAAAAAGTTGGGTACTTACGGGTCAATAGATACTGAAGCAAAACTTGGCTTCAAATGAAACCTTCTACAAATACTATGATACTTGAACTTGGAAGTACAAATATGCGGTCAATATATATATATAGTCAATATATCAAGACGGTACCGCCCAGATTCGAATCCAAGCAGACACTTTATTATAAATAATGGGATGTTCTAGTTAGCCTTAGGAACCTTTGTCTTTGATGATGACAACAGCCGAAATAACATCGCTTCACGATCTTTCCAGTTGAAAACATAAATTTACAACTTTCCGTGTTATCGGGAAAATGTGGTCCGTTTTGATTATATATTTGGGCTTGTTTGAGTATATTCACATGCATTTGCTAAAGGCCTTGTTATAGCTGTGATTGGGGAGAGTTTGTTCTATCTGTCGGGTAGGGAAGCCAAACTCTGCCTTCTCGTCGATAGGGTGTAGTCTTCAAAATCAAGGAGGGTTAAATTCAGATGTCCGGAATCCCCGGATCTTGAGGTAACCAATAGCATATGAACCCATTGTTAGTTACCAGTCATCACGGGATCACACCTCTGAAGATTTCTTCACGTACTTGTGGATTAGCTCTCTTTTGGACTTGAGGAGTGGCCTCCAAGGGAAACAACCTGCTTCAATTGAGTTACCTAGGGACAACCCTAGCCCTCACACAAATTTAACGAGTACAAATCGCGAAAACTTTGCTTTCTTCAACCATCATTCCCAGGAATTTTACTCAAGGTTATCCAATAACATTCGTCCTCATTTTACATCGAGTCTCACCCTATTACCCATTATTCATATTGTGTGCATTTCACTATTTTCCAGCGCTTATGGAAGCTCGCCTGTTGTAGGAATTATAACCTATCTTAACTATCTCATGTCACTGGCCCGTCGGAAGCCAAATGGTTCCGCTGAATACGAAGTCTAAATCAGGCTTTCTGGTAGCTGCCGGAGGCCCCTTCAGCCTAATCGACAATCCGTGAAGCTGATGGAATTCTAGTCAGTTAAACCTGCCAATATCTCAGACGATTAACGTGTTCGCCTATCTGGTGATATCAACTAGACCTCTGATCGGCGTCGGCTAATCCATCAAACGAGGCAGAAACTAACAAGGAAATCCGACTCTGGGAACGCCATCAATCTTCATGTTCAAATGACATCATCTGCTTCTTCTAAGTATGATGGAAAACCTCAAGTTAGGGAACCGACTTAGTTGTTCTCAAATTTTGTCTAGAAACGTCTAAAAAAGCAGTGTCCCTACATCCTGGAGTAGGTCTCTATTCAACCGTATATTTAAAATGGGCTTATATCTCCTGCCCAACAACCTTCGGGAGAATAGACATCTTCCGATTGCATTCAGATTATTAGCTTACGCCGCAGATTGTTCGAAACTTGGGAAAGATTGATCCTTAAGGAGCAAGCTGGTCCTCTTCGTTCTTGGAGATGTAGTAGTCATATTCCACCCTCTCCAGTCAAATTTTAGAAAAACATCGTACTTTTGCTGCAAACTGTCAATGTACATCTATGCACCAGGGCTGCCTGCGATCTGCTGAATAGGAGAACAAGAGTATCCATTAGTCGTTTGTTAATATTTCGGAAACTTTATACCAATACCTCAGGCAGAACCAAGGTACACAACACACATGTTGATAGTTGATCAGGATCTGACACTGTCGTCGTATGAGAGATTGGTGCACGGGACAGACATCTGTTGGTACTTCAAGACTATTTGGTTGAGGTCTTAAAAGTAATGAAACACAGTGGCTTGAGAAGTTACTAGACATTCCTCTGAACGGAGGCCAGTGAATGTCGTGCCCGAATTTTCTCTGACATCTGATTGAAACTCCCTTAACAAATCGAATCTTTTTTTATTTAGACTGCCTCCTTCATTACTGTTCTATAACTATTTTATTTCGCTTCCATAGGCCGATTTCCATTCATTTTTCTTTTTTTATCATACTTGCCTCTTTTTCTTCGTCTTTTCACGCACTTATTTGTATTATGTGGAATTCCTTTTTACCAACATTTATGTGTTTAGATAAATAGATGAAATATCAACGACCCTGGGATGCAAGTCAACAATTTTGGAAGCACTGTCTATTCACGGAGCAATAAACAACAAAAAGAAATTAAGTTACGGTGGAATAATGGTGTCAATATGACAAATCCTTTACATACTATTTCATTACTTGCAGTAAAGGAGAGAGGTTAGGACTATGTATTAAGATTTGAGCGATCGGTGAGAATCATGATTACAACATGGTATGGTTTCGTAAACGACTGACATCAGTTATGATGCTAAAATGTTGGGGTTGGGTAGTGGGTGTTAAACTGGAGTCACGTTTCAGTATTACAAATCAGGTATGAGATACTTAACCTGAGCTAATTTCAAATAAAATGCAAGCATGTTTTATCACCATTTTGTTTTCGGATTGAAATAACTTACGATTAAGATACAGAATCAGAGTGTAGTATGGGAGAATACTATTTAGTAAGACAAGTGTACTTGAATATGTGCCGAATCGAATGAAGTAAAATGACAAACCATCCTCATCAGAAGAGAGCATTTCATTTGGTCTGAACCATGTTATTATTGTTTTCATCAATTTATTGCATAGCATGGACTTCTGTGCTTGAAATCAATAACAATTCTTACAAATTTCAGGTATTTAAAGCACGACGGATGGCAGATAATCTAATTAGCTACTCACAAAATACAAGCTTCCCAGTATTGTGGTGTTTTGCATTCAGCCCAAAGATATTTCAAGTTCTTGGGACTTTGCGGGAAGAGAGAAAAGGGGAAAAGGACAACTGGTAATACAGCAAGTTCATAAAATCTCCTAGCTCTGAAAAGGTAAACTCTGAAACAGCAATCAGTTATAACACAAGAATAATATCAGGAGAATTTAAAGACGAGATCCACCAGAAGCTTGGATTTCACGCGAAAACATTCCATAATCTGTCTTACATCTGCTCAGTCAACCCAAGAATTCCACCGTAATACTTGTATGATTATAGCAGATAGTGTTTAAAAGGATCCTTTTGATTGTATTTTTTTCAACATAAGTGTCATAAAGTAAATTCAAGATAGAAATAATATTTATAAACTTATTCAAATTTCCCTTAATTTATTGTGATACGCACTAAGCTCGAGATACGTCAGTCTAAATACACACTTGTGAAACGCATTGTAGATTGCCATTACAGGGGATCTGTATGGATGATCGGGGACCTTTTCGAGTTGGATGAGAACTGTGTGAGCTCCTAGTTTACGCCAAAGTCAAGCTGACGGGACTCACTATCCACACAGGACCGACTCTAGCCCTCCAGAATATCAACATAGCATGCTACAATTGAAGAGTAGTATAGCTAACCTCCGTGAAGATGGACCGAATTATAATAATGTTATGGTCAACCCTTATATCTGTAAATGCCCATGTATTTCTGCACATCAGTAATTCTTACGCAATAACTACTTCCTTTGATTCTCCCAATTCGCGGCTTTAGGATTCCGCACTAATAATGCCGTTAGTTTGTTATAATCAAGTACAGAATGTAACACTGAGGATGATGTGTACCAATAACAATGACTGTTACTAAGCTTAGCTTGAAAATAAGGAAAAACGGTATGAACAGTTCTAACTTTGTATCCTGGAAATCCTAAACCAACAGGTGAACTTTAATCACGGAAGAATTACCGATGATTCATGTAACCCAGTTACGGATTCCATCAATAATTATATTTATGAACTTTATTTCAAAGGTTTGGCTGATATCGTATTCGGACCCTGGTTCAAGTAGTGTGAAGATTTGTTCAGGGTCGACTTCAATACATTTGATGGCTCCACGAAGATCAGAATGTATTGAACGAAAACACAAGTGGGCGCAACAAGGTGTATTTGAACACAACATTACAGAAAATCTTAGTAAAATCAGGGAATACGCAAATTGCAAAATGTAAATTAGTTGTCTCAAACTTGAACGTTCCTTCATTTCCAAGGAAATTATTCATTGGTCTCGTCCTCTTTTTATGCTCTTCTTAATATTATTCTGCCAGGTATTTCACTTTCGATTGATGACGCTTACTACTTATATCTGTCAACATCAGTAGCACACACTATAAGTATACTCCTGAGAAAACTTGGCTGGGTTAGACGAAGAGGACGGTAAATCCACCTTTTCGAAGAATTCAAAATACTTTTCTTTCCATGCAACAATTGGCATCCCATCAGAAATCTTTGCTGACCAGTCATCTTTGTTTCATAACTGTTATTCGTATCTCAATTCAACGAGAGCTGGTGACGACTGCATGAACATGCGGGTTTAGTAATTCGCGAATTTGAATGGTTTACACCATCAGCAGTGGCAGATCAGTTTGACTGTACCGCGCTTGTATGCAGTTTTTGATCTCCTGAAGAGGCTGATGCCAGAAGCAGAATTTGAGTAAAATTTAGGTATCTTAACATAACGCTACAACAAGTGACCATGAAATACCAGAGATTGGTAAAGCTGTGACACGATATTTTCATATCTTGCGATCATATGTCTATGCTGTGGGCTAGAAGCAAGATTATGGCTCACGAATATTATACCTCAGAGACAACTAACACTCATCTCAGTGCTGGTTATGTGAAGGTCGTCATTACAAAAAAGTCTGTGTATATAAAGATCATCGTTGCAGAAAAAGAATCCCTAAACATTATCTTTCGAAACCCTATTTCAAAGAATACAGGTCTGATATGACAACTAAAACTATGTTGTCATCTCGTATCTGAGCATAATTTACCACCGAAGAAAATATGTAACATTGATAAACACCCTATTAATCTTCATCGTGATACAGCATCTAACGCTACTCTTATCAGCCCAGTAACTTGAAAGACCCACAATTCACCCGAAGACACAACTGGCACACAGTGCTTCCGATAGAAAGTTAGATATAATTAGAGAGGTGTCCTGCACTTATTCCAGAGTTAATGCAACAACGAGTACAACAGTATACTTTACGAAGAATTCAGAACTCGATTTATCGAGGTTAGGTCTCTTAAAAACACTAAAATTGGCAGACCATTCTGTCAACAACACCTGCATAAGAGTCAAAAGTTCTAACTCCTGGGAGTG